TTGCCCATTGAACAAATACAAGAAATTCGAATTTTGTGGAATCAAGGAGAATCAATTTTCTTAAAAGAGGCGACCTTCCCGAAAAATAGCTTTTTAACATTATTGCTACATGTGCCTTCCTAAAGGTATTGGGATAAATCGACAAGATCATTCAAATAAATGGGATTCGCAGAGCTCAAAGTTCCTTCAATTTTAGAATATCTCAAAACTATGTCCTTATCTGAGAAATTTGCGTTTTATGTATATTTGCGCTATTAGAATCACGCATTATATTGCCAACCTTTATTTTGGAGCCATTTGGTGCATGAATAATAAATATATAGAAAAATAAATAAAGAATCAATGCTGAGGACGGTGGAACAACATTAACCGAGAATATAAAAGAAACATAAGATTAAGATCTTTAAATCAACACATTTCAGAGTTTATGGCATCGCTTAACCTTTCAAAGATGATATGAACTAATGGTTCGTATTAATTTCCTATAAACTGGACGATGGATATATCCATTTAGGATCAACTCACTTGGCAAGCTTCGCGCTATAAACAATTAGAACTTATGCAATGGCTCTCAAAAAGATCTAGTGCACGGAAATGGATGCACAACTAGCTGTAGAATGGGAAAAAAGTGAATCGTGATCATTCGCAAATAAAAAAAAGGAAAACCTTTTGTTAGGCATTCGTAAGAATATCCTTTGATGAGTGAAGATGAAAGAAAGTTTTATCGGGTTTCATTTCCAGAGCTTATTCATCATTTCTTCTTATCGTGAGATAAGGGTAACACCCACGACATTACTAGGTCTACAACTCAGAGACAAACTGAGTTGATGTTTTTTTTCGAGTTAAATTTGTAGTCGCCTGTTTTTTTAACTTTTTTAGCGGAAAAATTTTCCCAAAGAAAGACAGAAATTAATATTTGGCAATTCTTAGCGGAAGATTTGGAGTGTTATTCAAAATGTACAACGTTTAAAAAACCCACATTTTAGTTTTCTTACATCAAATCATTCTACCAACAAAATGAAAGAAATAGATCAAAGGAGGAGACAGAGGTATCAAACACTAATGAAAGCGACGGATCAAGGTATAAGTAAAAAGTATCTGTAAAAGGTTGTATTAAATTTGCTGAACCACTTGCAATATACAGATTTATTCGCTCAAAGTGAAGCTTAGAATTTGAAAAAAAGTTGATGCTAATAAATTTTTTTTTAATTCAAGGAAATTCTCAGAAAGCAGTCCTTTGAAAATATTACCTTCTTGGAGATGTTCTGTTGTAAACTGCTCTTGAGACGGAACAGTTTCTCCAGTTCTAAAGGACCGTTCGATCGAGGTGAAATCATTTTTCTGAAAAGAAGAAGTATGACATACGAA